ACCCAGGGGAAGAGAATTTCAGACATGAGAACAGGAGCAAAGGCCCCGTGGAAGAGAGAAACTGATCATATAGAACAGACATGGGCATTGAAGCTGGGGTGAGGGAAGGAGGGGCAGTCAGAGACTTTGGTCCCTCAGTCTGAGGACTTACTGGGGGTGAGAATAGTGAGCAACTCTGAGAACTTGGTGGGTCTGTTACCAGGAAACTCCCAGATAAGCTCGGGCTGCCTGTCTCTTTGTCCAATAACAAAGTCAGGGTTGAATTACATAAAGCATTTATTGAGAAGGCCAGCCAACCAAGAATACAGGCCACTTACAAGCATTCAAATCCTATCTCCAGAAAGATTCAGGGGACAGGATTATAAAGGGGAGTGGACTGGGATATGGAATGCAGCTACATGCAGTCCTAGAGGTTTGAAGACGTCAGCTATTGTCATCAGTTACAGGCTATAAGATGATGTTGATGAGATGATGTTTGACTCCTGGTGAGTGGGTCTAACCCTGCTTAGTGGTTCTGTTTGCTGGATTCACAGCTGAGTCACCCCTTTAATCACTTCCCACAGGCCTTGAAAGGGAAACTTAAGGAAAACTTAACCCCCTATTCACATATAGGAAACTTAACCCCCTATTCACACAAGTATATGTGTTCTAAGATTTAAAATAATATTATTTTTCAGATTAATTCAGTGCTCTATCTATCAGATTATAGGTCCGTTCCCCCCACCCCCATCACAAGGACCTACCTCACATATAAAGTAAGTTTAAGAGATAACAGACTAATTTTTTATCTAACCTTCCAGAACATATGTACCCAAATGAAGGGATTTCTCTTCAGAGACAGTCACTTCACAAGGCTCTGTAGTTCTTTTACTGATAATGTCTTTGCTCAAAATATCTGAAACACCTCTTTAGAACTTCCTCTTCCTCTCTGTTTCTCTCTCATTCACTCGCTCACAATCGGTATCCTTCTCCCTCTTTAGTCATAGGTGTTAGGTTGTCGAAGGAGGAACACACAAGGCCAGAATGGCGAGGGATTACGAATTTATTCGATCATCCACACACCAGGTGGCTGAGCCTGAATGGCTCCAGCACCCGGTGACGACGGGAATCAGAGGCCTTTAAAGGACTTTTGGCAGGATTTTTTCTGGGTGGAGGCCTCTTTATGCATACCTGGAGGGGGAGATAATGAAATGTGGTCACTAGCAGTGAAATGTGGTCTGAGCAAAGGGAATGTCCATAGTGAAATGACCTGGAAAGCCAGTTCCTAGGGGGAGGGGTATCAATTCAATTGCTCGATCAAATCTAACATTCCAGGCTTTTTGTTTATGGAATAGGGA